TTACTCACCCCTTATTAATGAAACAGGATTATAACAAGCAGGAAAAGTTAAAAGAAAATTAGCATTAAAAGAACCTTGGAAGCTATATTAATATCAATTTTATTGTAAATTTATTTGTTTCTTGGGCACGCAAATATAATGATTTGACTTCCGTGATGGAAGGTAAGTAATACTTACCAGTCGTAAAGTAAAAAAAAATGTAATGGATGGACCATAAAATATACAGTAATTTACTATGCAATTTTTGCTTATTAATGTACTGATTATTTATTAATCTTTACTAGTTGTTAATACATAACAATTTATACGAAGTTTATGTACATACCAACGTTTCTGTTGTATTTGTCCATGTACTGCAGTAAATATTGGACAATCAGAAAAACCTTTCAATAATATTGATAAGGAAATTATCAAAATGCAAATAGTCTCAATTATTTTGATACAAATGTGGGTTTTTATTCCGAAAATTTGAACTTTGTACTTTGATAACTAGCAATGGGCATTTGTTTGAATTTATAATTAGGAAAAACAAAGAAAACAATTTAAATATAATTATTTAAATAAGTAGAATTGATTAGATAAATATAAATAAATTCCACTTTCTTAAAGTCATATAGCTCATAAATTAATGAACACAAAAATACTTTTTTATTATTATGTGAGAGAATACAACAAAAATGTAAAAGCTGCCTCGCATCTGCATTTGTTTTATAAAAGTATGTTTATTTGGCGTTATTAGATTAGCATTTTTGTAGAGAAAGCCGCAACGTCGAAGGGTAGTAATGAATTAATGATTTATTTTCGGAATAAGGAACATTTGGTGTCATGGATGCTATAGGGCGTGTCTTTTCTGTTTTTATTAACAAATTACATTCAAAAGTTGGTAAAAATATTATTAAATACTGTAAATAAAAAACGGTTGACATTATGATGTTATGGCATGTACCTACCTATGTTAATATAACAGAAAAAAATGTTTCTTTAAATTATCAAATATTAGGCTTCGCTCGCGGGATCATCGACGACCGCATAAAACTAATTCTTTTATCCCTCGAGAATAGTACGTTTTGTCTTAATAAATGGTATCCCATGTCCTTTTCTGCACCCCTGACAATGTGTGTACAAAATTCCTTGACGGTCGGATGAGTAATTAAGGTGTAAAACAGTAGCAAACAAACTCTTATTCGTATTTAAAGAATTAGTTAGGATTATCAAGTATTCAAAATAAGAACTTACTATCCATTTCCAGCATTTTTGTTGTTTGTCTTTTTCCCTAATTGTAGGTAAGTAATCATAACAAGTAATTACGATTCTGACACGTCTTTTCTTTTTAAACCAATCTGCGACTGTATTTATTGGATTATCATAGTGAAGATGTTCCAAAAACAAAAAACCAACAACAATACTGCACTAATCAGCTATAGAAATAGCGTAGAACAACAAAATTTTTCTCAGCACAATCACGTTGCTTACCTACCGCACTGTTAATATATTGAATCAGTTGTCAGTTATAACGTGCAAGTACCTTAAGAAATAAAATCGTTCGAAAGTATCCATGCGGTAAGTAATAATGTGCCAAGGTAAGTGCAATTGGCCTGGTGCAGCTAACTCGTAGGAAAAATGCATTACGTGTAGAGTAAGAACTATCTCTTCCAGTTGCTACTAAAGCATTAAGTAACGCAAGTGGCGTTACTTGGAAATAACCGCGTTTTACTCGACGTTCTGTGAGCAAATTCAGGATGCATTTGTACCACAGTGAAATTTTCCTACGCTAACGTTCTGTATATGTATGATACAGAAACTTTAACATCATGCTTTCGAAATAAGTTAATAATTAAAAGATTTGTATAAAGAGCAACATGCAGTTGTAGAGCTGGAGTAACAACGTAGATAAGTAAATATAAGGAACGGAGTCAAGCAAGGATGCACATTGTCACCGGTACTTTTTAATCTATATCTGTCGAAGACGCGATCAACATCATTAAAGACAGTACAACTGCAGGGATAGATATAGAGGGGCAAAAGATTGATATGCTTCGATTTGTAGATGCTATATCGGTATTAGTATATAGCAAGGAGGAGTTAGAAATAGCTTTAAATAAAATGGAAGCGATATAGACAAAACAGTATTGTATGAAAATAAATAATAGTAAAACAAAAATACTGATATGCAAGGGAAGAGAAAGTAGGGAAAGATCGAATATAAAGATAGGAGACGAAAGATTAGAATAAGTGGCTGATTTTAGGTATCTAGGAAGTCAGATAAGTCAGGACGGAAGGAGTAGTAGGGATATAAAGCTTAGGGGAGAGCGCAGGGTTGAGTCGCCTTCAATAAAAAGAAGTCTTTCTATGCTTGTATTACAGGCGAATGATGAGGATACCGTGCATAGAAAAGGTTAGAAATAAAGAGGTATTAGAAACGATAAGAAAACAGAGGACTTTATGGAAGTCAATGAAAAATAGGCGAGATAGGTTGGTAGGACACCTTCTTAAGTATGAAGGTCTAGTCACATACATATTAGAGGTAGAAACAGTAGTTAAGGAGAGTAGAGGTAGACCTAGATTAGATTACTGTTTGCAAATAATTAAGGATGTGGGATGTTCTAGTTTCACGGAAATGCGAAGATTAGGTCAGGATAGGGAAGAGTGGAGGTGTGTGTCGAACCAGTTCTAGGACTGATAACCTTACGATGATGACGATAAAAAGTACTCACTCTTGATTACTACAAAACATAGTTCAATTAGAGGGCAGGTGTTTCACCGGCTTCTGATGTGGGAATTTTCAAAGCGAAAACGGACTACAAATAACTACAAATATAATGAGCGAAACACGTGCCCGCAAATTAAATGCGCGTAATCAGGGGTGAAACTTTCTTATTATTCCATTCACAACAGTCTCTTCTTTTCTATTCTTATTTTAGTTAATCTAGAAAAGAAGAATTCTGTTGTAAACCTTATTTGAAGAGAGAGTGAAGTTGGTTTGAGTTCTTATGTCTTCTGATTTCACCAACTCAATCTGAAATCGGAAATTTCTGGGCCGTTTTTAATTTTTTCGAAAATTAAAATTCTTCAAATGAATTCCTCAGAATAAAGCATCCTTTTAGGGGTAGCATTTAAAAATCATTAAACGCGTAATTTAATATTTGATTATTTGTCCTATATTAAGATTTGTTTTAAGAAAACGTAAAAACTTGTGTTTTATTACTAACTAAGAAGATTTTATATCAAAGTTAAAGTTGATGCACTCAAACTTTTAGTGACCATTTAACCTCCTTAGGGGTTAATTATTTAAAATTTCTTTCCTGGTTCATCTCTACATCTTCTAAAGAAGAAATTCTTAAAATTTAATATTTCTGTCTTCAGTGGTTTAGGTTGTAATACCTATATACTTACATAAGACAGTTCTGTGGCTAAATGACAGACAACGCACAGCTTAAATTACTGAAAATAGAAACACGAAATTCGAATAATGTGCTCTTTAAAGGGCGTAGAGGTATAATAAGACAGAACATTTGAAAAATCAATACCTGAGGGTGTCAATAAAGTTTATATCAAAAATCCACGCGGGCGAAGTTGTTCGTTTAGTACAAAGGTTTCAAAAAATAAAATGTTTTCTTGAATTCAGACAAAATAAGATCCTAGTTCAACTGCAAGAGTTTGCTTTTTCTTGAGGAACGGATTTAACTTAAACTTAATCTTTTTCATTGATCTCTTTCAAGCACTGTTCTTCCTTTTGTGTTTCATTCTCTAAGTCTTCGAATGCTGGTCGTTTCAAAATGTAACGGAATGCCTCTGATACTAAAATTAAAGACTTAATCACGCTAAAATCAGCGGAACACTAAGCAATAACATAAATTCTAAGTGTTCACATTACTTTCATACTTGAATACGTTGTATAGTAGTTACCCGCTTTCCCTAAAGACCATCGTACCCATAAATTAGTATCTTCGGTTGACATTTTCATTACTTAATTACCCATTACAGATGATTAAAAATTGTTGTTTGACTTATACATACGGTTACTATATTTGATAAAATCGTAATTTAAATATACTGACATAAAAACCTGAGTTTAATAAGTCATGTACAAACTTAAACTAAAAGGTTAAAAACTGAAATTACTCTTAATTTTCAATCCGATGGAATATTCCCTTCAAATTTGAACGGGATCACTATTACTGACAGCTACATGGATCGTATTTTAGGCTAGGGAAGGCAAGAGAAGAGGGGAATTTTTTCTAAATTACAGAGGTTCTTATGTTAATAAGACTTGAATTATTGAGGTTCTACTATATGATGTATTAACACTAAATATCGTAATAAATACAATAATAATGAAAGTAGAAGCAAAAATTTAGTACTTAATATTTACAAATCTTAACAATAAGGATCAATATGATGAAATAATTGCGGAGTCTAATGCTTAAGGAGATTGACAATATAGAAAAATTACATACGGCTGATTTATCGCAACTGTATTTAGTACCTAGTACCTACCTATAAAGTTGCTTTTGACACAATATCTACTAGTACTGGAATTACTATTACTACTGTCCTTCTTGACGACAAATATTTATTTAGATGCATAAAGATTGTGTTCAGTTATGTAAAATTTTTTTGACTTTTATGTTCTATTTCGAATTATTTATTAGTTAGTACTTGATTTAAGAACAGCAAAAAAGGAGTACGCTGCCCTTAAAATCTAAAGCAGAAACAAATAAATTTCAGATAGTTTCCTATTCGATGGTTAACTTACGGAAACAAATGTCGCCAGAGTAAGTGGGGAGAATTTTCCAATTGTAAAGTATATGGGCTTTTTCAACCTGGCCATATTCATTAGCATGGTTTTCTTAAATTCTAGGCTCCTTGGTACCCAGTCGCTAAAATAAATTCCTTGCAGGACGTCTCCGCTCTGAAATTGTTTAATTAATGCAAGAAATTAAATTATATTTGCACATATAATATTAATATATGAAAATTAAAATTAGGTGCTTAGGTATCTGAGAAATTTTAATTACCACAATTATTAAATTAATATAAAATTAATTTATCTCTAAATATAAAATTTGTTAGCTAATTAGTAACCAATAAATCAAAACTAATTATTTTAGGTACACCAATGTTATTCATTATCTACCTTTAAAGTAATTTCATTTCCATATGATGTATAAATCCCCAATTGGTAAACCATTGCACCCATGTATATAATTTGTCTGAAAAATCTGCTACTACGTAACGGTGCCTGAAATAAGTTAAACATTACTTTGATAATAATTGGTATAGCATGCGAAAGGTAACAGAAAGAAACTTGCCAATTTATTAAAGTTGCGATAATATTATAGTAATAAATTATTTATTACACTATTTCAATTGCTAACGATTTATGTAAAGATCTATTTACGATTATACTTACTTAAAGTATGTGGTTAGCTTACTAATTGTAAATAACATTCTTNAGTGCTGTAAAGTTTGCTTTTAATGAGGTCTAAAACGGTTGCATTAAATGTTGAAAGCATCGAAAATTTCATCTGTAATTGTAGCAATAATTTTTAAGCTACTAGCGGCTAACTCAACCCTATATGTAACTATGCATTTATTGCGTAATTACAAAATTTTAATGATACAAGTAAAAAAAATTATAAACGATATAATTTTCTTGATAGTTCAATTACATGTATTTGCTAACAGTCTCTAGATTACGAAAACTCAAAATGTAAATTACATAGTTATAAAATATTTATTACACTATTTCAATTGCTAACGATTTATGTAAAGATCTATTTACGATTATACTTACTTAAAGTATGTGGTTAGCTTACTAATTGTAAATAACATTCTTATCTTTATAGATCAATAAATGCATAAAATGAATTTATATTCACTATTAGATGGTATAACAAATCAAGTTTGTTCTGCAAGTAATAAAAAGGAACAAAAGAAAGTGCAGTCATAAGCGTTTAACAAGTCGAGAAATAACATTCGATGCGTGGAATCATATAACCGTAAGTTGAAATTAAGACATTTTAGAAAAATTTGAAGATTTTCGATAATACTGTTCTACTAGATTAATCGTAAAATAATTAAATTCTGAATGTTCAACTTTTAAAACACAAATTATGTATTGCCTAAAGACCCACAGTTTTTGAGATAATCTGAAATTTTAAAGACAATTAATAATTCCGCCCATAATTCAGCGTAAAATAATCGCGTTATTCTAATTGGCACTTAAATCTGAAAGAAGCTTTATTAGCTTGGACTGATTTCAAATGTCTAAAGATGAGCGGTTACTCTCTATATAGATGGCCATTTTCAATTTCTAAATTAAATGCGATATCCTATTTTCTCAATTCCTTGGATTGCTTTTTAATTTTAGCTGAAATACGTACTTTACATTCATTTTCCTTTTTCAGTTTAAAAATTTGAATTTTCGTTGCAAAAAGTGATTTGGCTAAAATTTTTCCAATTTTTGGATAGTATTGAGAATTTCTCTCAGAAAAGTTTTGTGTTTTACAATAAATGATGAATTCCTTTAAACAGGCGCGAATTTAATTAATTTCTTAACATTTTCCTAACTGTAAGTAAATTGCAGTGGCAGGTAATTGTTAGTGATTATTTAACTGATATTATTTATAATTAGCTTTGTATAATATTATACGTATACGTACACGTACTGTGGTTACAATAGTAGAAAAAAAGAAAATTTCATAATGATCATTGCTTGCGTGTTTCACTTTTTATTTATTCAGTAAATAATTTCTTGAAATAAGACCCTGTACATAAGGGCAAAATGCTCTACCCTTATTCTAGCGTTTTTAATTCGAAGTTCAGATTACGTACGCACATTTAATAATTTTAGCCATCAAGGATACTTTTTTAGTCTAGGTTTCTTTGTTTAAAGTAATAATACTTTATATACATATTCACACAGCTGTGCATTTTGTTTGCAAGTAAGAAACTAATTTTTAAACCCAGAATCAATTGGAAAATAAACGTTTATTACTGATATACATAGGTTTTTTTATCTCTTCCTCATGACTCTATAATAGCATTTCTGTATTAATTTGCTGTCATTAAAACTACATTTAATACTGCTTTGCAATTTTGACGTCAATAAATCTGGGTCATTTCCTGTACGCTGCAGAAAATATAAAATAAAGCCACTGCTTTCCGGAGAGTCTGCTATTTGAAATGCTTTCTTTTTAAAACTGCGTTTACTCACCCCTTTAAATAGAGCTTTGTGAATTTTTAAAAAATTCACACGGTTGTTCTTGTAAGAAAACATATTTATGCAGTAAAATGTATAGCTCTTTCAAAATCTCATGAGCCGTTACATGTGCAGGAGTGGACTTCATTGCATTCGTGTAGTACATTGTGAAAACATTGACTCGGTTGTTAACTATACACCTAACTATTTATAACGATACAATTTAGAATAGTTTTAACTAAATAGTGACGGCCAGTGTTCTTAAGAGGTAGAAATGAAGAAATCAATGAATGGAAGGAGTTTTGCTGCTGCACAGTCTAAGATCAAGGTTCATGAAACTCTGAACTACCTCTACTCTATTTAGTATTTGTTAATTTTTTTGCATGGGGCGTCAATGGACTCAAGCAAATCTAAATCTGTATGATAGGTATGACAGCGACAAGGTGTCGTAAGGTGACGTGTGCTTTAATGAAAATGATTCATAATTTCGGGACCTCTTTAAGCAATTTTCAAATATGGACTCGTACAATTTCTTTCTATACAGCTGTTCAATCCAATTAAAGTTTGTACGATATGAGCGCGACAGGATGTCGTTTGGCGATGAAAATGACGATATCAACTTGACAATGTGTCGTAAGATGACGAAAATGAGCTTTTGGGAAATCGAAGGAAATAATTCAGTCCTTTTTTACCAATTTCCAAAGTTCGCGGAAAATTTTGCTCTGCATAGCGGTTCATCGAGCTCATTCAAATTTGTATGATATGAGCGCGGCAGTACCATAAGGTGAGATGTGTTTTGATGAAAATGAATTTTTGCAAAATCGAAGGAATTGATACATTATTTTCTAGAAAAAGGGCCCCAAAAAATACTTATGCATTGGTCCTCAATAGTTCTAAATCTGCTGCTTGTTGTTGAAATAATTAATTAAAAATTGGGATCTCATTCGTCTATCATGTACTATCAAACCTAAGTAGAAGCAATAAATTTTGTATATTCCATCACGTTATCAATTAAGTGTCATTTGATTTGAAATCATATTCACAGTTTTTAATTCTTAAAACAGTGTAAGTGCTGTAAAGTTTGCTTTTAATGAGGTCTAAAACGGTTGCATTAAATGTTGAAAGCATCGAAAATTTCATCTGTAATTGTAGCAATAATTTTTAAGCTACTAGCGGCTAACTCAACCCTATATGTAACTATGCATTTATTGCGTAATTACAAAATTTTAATGATACAAGTAAAAAAAATTATAAACGATATAATTTTCTTGATAGTTCAATTACATGTATTTGCTAACAGTCTCTAGATTACGAAAACTCAAAATGTAAATTACAAAGTTTTGTAATATAAATGGGGTCATTAGAATGATGAGTATCGTTTAATTTTCTTATAAAAATTATTATAGAAACAATTCATACATACAACATATATTATTGCTTAGTGGAATGTATCTCTGAGCGATTTATGCAGACATTAATTTTAATGCCCTTACCTCTAATTTACATTACGTCATAGAATTTACATTGCCTAATGTTCAGACGTGTGAAATGGATCCAATTGTAAAAACCATATAAGTACATTGCGATAAGTATTAGTTGTTGTTAATTATTTTATTATAAAATTAAACAGAGAGATACTTTTAGCTAGTAGCTTTAAAAAATTAGCGATTATTTCCTTAGGTAGTACTTAATAAAAAAATAATTTTTATAAGGTTATTAGTTATTATATACTTCTGATATGAAGTACCAAATATTCAGGTCTTTTCCAATGTACTTTTGTAAAAAAAGAAATAAGAAAAGAATAGCTCTTGTACTCTTGCACTCTATTTATCGTATGTGCTTTTTTTTGTATATGTACATGAATAATATTATGCAATATTCATAAATCACCCTTAAATAAGTATCATAATCTTTAAGAAAGTATGATGCTACTAAAATGTGTGCTATCTTCAGTACTTTTTCTGTTTTTGCCAAAACAGTATTGTATGAAAATAAATAAAAGTAAAACAAAAATTCGTACTGGTATGCAAGGGAAGAAAGGGTAGGGGAAGAGTAAATATATATAAAAAGGTAGGAAGCTGTAGCTTCGCTTTTTAGCGCGAGTGTCCATTCTTCCCTTTAGTGTTCGGCCACCCTCTTCACAGTTCATCTCCCCAACCTCCCTTCCTCACCCTCTCCCCTACCCCAAACTTCTCCCATCTTTTCCCGGTAGTCATAACCATCAGGTTGAACTACCACCTCGAGGAGGGTTTTTAGTCGGTAGGCGCTCCCACCAGGAATGAATTTTCGGTATCTCGGAAGTCAGACAACTCAAGATGGAAGGAGCATTACAGATACAAAACAGAGGACAGCGCCATTAACAAAAACGAGTGGAAGTCAATAAGAAATTGGTGAGAAAAGTAGGTAGGATACCTTCTCAGGCATAAAGGGTTAGTTACAGAGAGACATATTGGAAGTAGGAACAGGACTTAAGAAGGGTAGAGGTAGACCTAGATTCGATTACTGTTTACAAATAGTTAAGGGATGTTCCAGTTTTAGGGAAGTGTGAAGATTAGCTTAGTATAGGAAAGAGAGGAGGTGCATGTTCAACTAGGACCCTATGGTGATGATGATGCTTTTGTACTTACTTGAGAAAGTGTGAAAAAGTTTGAAACTATGATCAACAAAGAAGTTAGAACTGCACCTAAATTTATGAAGGTGAACAGCGCTTCGGCCTCTGTTGTTAACCTGGAAAATGAATGAAACTATTTCATTGAACTCTAAGGCTAAATTGAAAACGTTAGTTAGAAATAAGGTACGTAACTGTATTGTAGTTTGGAGATGTTTTGTATAATGAATTAAATGTGATAACAGTTTATACTCTTCCGGCTGCATTTTCTTGCGATTTTTGACCAATACAATCGCATCAGTTAGTTGCTCTGTTGGTTTCTTAAATGCAACTGTTCGAAATGCACCTTGTAAAAGAGTAAAATGAGTAGCCAGTTCGTGTTCAATAGCCATAATGAGAGCATCAATACCTAAAAGTAATTATTTGCATTCATCATGCTTGCTCGGTTCTTAAAATTAATGAAATCAAAAGGCACACAAATGAGTAATGCAGCTTCAACTACCCAACACAGACCACCGGTGTTGGTAGTTGTATGCCGGTAGCTGTGGTGGTTAAAATGTTATCTAGGATTATCTTCAAGTAGATGATTCTAGAGTAAAAAGGACCGAAAGAGTGGAGGATTTGGGTTATGACACTAAATTAGGCTATATTTAAATACTTTGACTTAATCGTTCTAAAAATGTATCTATATGGAATCTCCTATAGTGTTCGAGATTTCACCAGTTTGGTGCACGTTTGTGAGAATGTAAACCCTTCGGAGGGGATTGTCGTTGGGTTAGTATATATGTAAAAGAATCAGATCCAATAAGGGTTGTGCAGTTTGTAGGTGTGGATTGTACGAATTTCTCCTAGACAAAAATTTTAAGTCTCTCAGAGTCTTTCAGCGTCTCTGACAGCGTCTTTCACAGTCTCTCAGTTACTGCCTAGGTGTTTTTATGGATCTCTCACAGTCTCTGTGTGAGAGACTCGAACGACAAAATTGTTAATTCAGAGATTCTAATCTCTCATAGAAAGACTGGGATCTCTGAAATATGTTGAACTTAGAAAATTTTAACCATGTCTACAGAGACACAACTTATTGAGAGATTCGAGTCTCTCATTCCGAGACTCGATACGAAAGGAGAATCTCTCTATGAGCGACTCGAGTCTCTCGTTCAGAGACGCTAAACAGTTTTTTTGATAGTCACTCGACAGTCTCTCTCAGCGACACCACAGAGACTCAATGAGAGACGGAGACTTGAGTCTCGCTTTCAGAGACTTTGGGAGACTGAACATTTTTATCTCGGGTAATCACAAAAAGTAATGATTAAATATAAAGTAGATTGTGAGAAATTAACACATAAAAAGAAATTTGATATACAAAGGTTCCGGTTAAGATACAGTACCTAATGCAAATATATTTTTTAAAATCGATTCTTTCTAAGATGCAATAAATTGTATTTAAAAAATGCTCTGCTTTAATTGAAATAGTTAAACTGCTGAGCGTAATTAAGAGGTACGATAATAAAAAAGTCTATAAAACTCGCAAAACTGCTTATATTTTTTATGAATCATGCTCATTTTTATTTAAGCGCTACTTAATTTGCAGAAAGATGTTATCATTTGTTACAGAATATATTCCCACAAACATACGTGTAATAATCTGCAGACTTATTATTTCTTACCAAATATTTGAAATCCATATATCAGAACTGGAACAAACTGAAATAATAAAGCTAGCGAGCAATTCACGCGATTCGCCAAATTGAAAGAAAACCAAGAATAGAATGGCAGCAATCTTTCGCATGTTTCGTCGCTGGCTGCTAACACATCCTCTGGTACGGAAAGCATTTGAACAAAAGCGGATATATAGTTACAAAATGGTGTGAGCATTATTATAGAAAAGTATGTTATATTGGTTCGAAATAGGCTTTTCTGTGATTCCAATGAGATCTTCAGTGGGTCAAAATCAGCAGCTTCCACAAACATCTCTTTATTGCTAAGCATTTTCATTATAGATACAATCTTCTTTCTTTTTCGAAGAAAATGTAAAACCTGCAATAAAGGCAAAAGTTAATTTTTAGAAGAAGAATTTAAATCATAGCTAGTCACTGTTATTAAATTAAAATATACTTACGGACTAAGCTTGTGAAAGGAAAATAGTATGCAACTATTTCTACTGCTACGTCTAGCGTATTAATTTTACAATACAGTAAACGATTAAAAATTGTTCAACAAATTTCATTTGAAATTAACGATTCAACAATACCGAATTCCATTTTAACGAAGAATATTCATTCTGATTGTAAAAAGTGTTGCATTATTTTTAACGATAATTTATTCAGTATTAGCAGGGCCGTAGCGATGAGCTCGGGGCCCCGGTGCGGTATTCCGCAAGGGGCCCTTCTTAAAATTGATGATCAGAAAAATGTCATTAAAAAAAATGTCGATAAAACTATTGATGATTTTGCTGCTATCAAATCGAAAAAAAAAACGTTTTAGAAATAAGAGTGATGTTTCGGGTGATATAGATTTATGGTCAGCAATTAGTAATTTTTTATGGTAGCAATGATAATTATATCAACGGATTCAAGGAAACCATGAATGTAGAAGTATTCGCGATTTCGAGATGTATGCATTCCATGTAACTACGTACCTGAACAAATATATGGAGTATTGTGACAAAAATTGATATAGAAAAAAGTAAAATAAAAAATTATGATGTTCATTTCGTAGTTTGACTCAGCTCATCTCTAACAGCATAGTTTTTTTTAGAAGTAATTTTTTGAAAACAGAAAACTGCTAAGGGGCCCCTCGACTGCGGATGCCCCGGTGCGCCGCACCGCTTGAACCGGCCTCGCTACGGCCCTGAGTATTAGGTATTTTTTACCGTAATTAATAAAATACAATCGAAAGCATTTATGTTTTTGAATGTCTTTTGAATATGCAGATAAATATTAGCAAGCAGAGAGGTTGCATCTTCCGGCTGTATTTTAAAATTACTTTTAAAAATAATCTATTGTTTTTATTTTAATTAGAACCTTAAACAACACTTAAAAAGGATTGATGGGTGAAGGTTTATTTAATTGCACCTACATTTCGCCTATTTTGCTAAGGTCATTTTAGGATAGATTAATATGTTAATAATTGGATGTTACAGTATAGATCTTAACATTTTTGTTTTGAAGTAGCAATATGTTACAGTAATATACAACACTTTTTTTTGTTAGTTCAATAGTTCAACAATAAACAAGTAGTTCAAATAATAAATTATGAGAAACTACTATTTTTTAAGTGTGAAGTTGACATTTTGACATGTTATGGAAATTTTAACTTGATTTATTACCTATTTATTATTTTAACTATTTACAAAAAATTTAATGTATGTTACTGTGATATTTCGCTACTTCAAAAAATATGAAGTTTTGAAGATCGTAGTTCTATTGTATATTGTATCATTCAATTATTAAGATATTAATCTATTTTGAAGGAGCCACTAAAAGAATAGGTGAAACGTTGGTGTGATTAAATAATATTAAATGAACCTTCACTCCTCAACTGCTTTTTCAATTTTGTTGTATCACTCTCCAGAGGAAGATACACTACTTGTTATTAATGAATTAGTTGATGTTTAACATTTATTGGTGATCGCAAAGAAATTGTAGTCAGATACTTACTGATTGAAGTAGACAATCAATCGACTAATGAATGAGAGAACGAGAATCTAAAAAACAATTTAATTATGCAACATGTTTACCTTAAGAGATGTTAGTACATGAGCGATCGCCATTCCAAAATTTTCTACAAGAAATGTCATATTTTGATGATAAGATTTCCTTAATTGCATTATTTCTTGTAACAAGAATATTTGACAATGCACAAGTGCATATGTGCTATATAAGGTTAATAATTGTTTTTTTAAAGGGGATGTATTTTTACGTATAATTGGCGTACCAGCAAAAGCAAGAAACTTTCTGGTAAATCGAAAAGGATCGCGAAAAGATGACTTTGAAGGCATCTGGAACAACTGAGTTTTAATAAAAGACTGATTGACATAAGACATCTAACTATGTTTAAGTATAAACAAGTTAAGATGATGGCGAAATAAATACCATAATTTAAGGGAGTGAATCGTTAAAGAAAAAATTACACTTACGAAACTTGTGTGTATATTTATATGTATATGTGTATGTAATAACTTTAAGAGCCATTGTCGTCTTTTGCAAAGTTTTCAAGTAATGAGTCGAATGTTCTGGTTCCCACAGGAGTTAAGATACTACTATCATTTAGGTCGTGTTGTTAAGATCATTAGAATTCACGAATAATTTAGTATGTTATGAATATGTAAATAAGTTTTTGTTTTGTTTCTTTGTATATACTCAAATGAAAATAAACTTAAAGCAAAAGTAGTTATTTGAATGTACCAGTAGTTTCTGAATAACCTGCATCCCTTATAATTTAAACAGCAAACACCCTTGTAATATGAACAGAACAATTTTGTAAAAAGATACTTGCAGACATAAAGAAAAAGCGGAACGTTTGTTAAAATTGCTGGGCTAGTTACATATACATGTAGGCTAAACTGACAGCCTTAAAATAAAGATTCAATGAACATTTAAATGAATAGTACACAAAACAAAATTAACCACCGAATTCGCTGATGAATACAATATTTATTACTAATAATGTGCTAAGAATGTTATAAGAAACATTGTACATAATAACGATCATGTATAATTTAATATCTCCTACTACTTAACAACCTAATTTTGTTTATAATTCTACTATCTTCTCGTTACCCCTTTTTGCCATGTAAAACAAGAAAACTAAACTAAATTAAGTGCTTTTCTTTTAATTCAAATAGTGCGGTTGAAAATGTATGTATTTATAATCCATTTATATTCCGGATTGCATTAGATATTTATCGCTATTACGAATTCTGTTGTTAAAAATGTACTTATGGTACATCGGCAGGGGGAGTCTGACAACGCAAGCTTCAATTTCTGTTTAAAATTTAAAAGATACCTATAATGTTTGCTAATCGTAAATCACTTTTTAATAACAATCATGTAAAAACCAGTAATTGNTGTGTTTCGTCAATTACCTGTAAAACTTTTTCTAAGGATTTACTATTTTAATTTGCCTATGGTTGAGCATTATTTGTAGCAGTTGTAATTAATACATAAATTCTAAATAGTGAATGGAAAAATTGGATTTGTCAAATTAAATAATATTTGCAGCATTCTATTTACTATCCAATTAATTTCCTTGATGCATAATATTGCGACAAAAAATTTCGTGCAGTGTTATTCTTATGCGTAGTGATAATTAGGTATTAAGTGTGGTTTATGTGATCACTCTTTTCAATTGGTTATGCTTTCTTAAATATGTAGAATTAAGAATTGTTAGCACATATATTATTGGAATTACATATGTGACATTCATGTGGCACGTTTAATGCATAATAATGAAATATCTATGAAATTTAGATAGCCAAATACACATTGATAAGTAGGTTTCTAATCATTTCTCACAAAAGTGCATTAATTGATGTGTAATTGATAATTACATGAATGTAAACAAAGGGATGTCAACGTTCAAATGTGGTATACTACCGTGACCTGACCTTCCGCATAGCAGCGTGTACGAGTGTCAGGTGCTGAAACTTTAATTTGAGTTATCTTGTCAAGTGTCACTAATTATGAGCTTTTTGAACATAAACTGTTGTGTCGGTGGATTCAGGTTCTTCGCTTTAATTATGCAACGTTTTCTTTGTCTTTCGACGAGAATTCGAGTCCATTCTTTGATGCTATCGATTATTTACACATCAAACAGATTATTGCTTTGATCGATTTGCAATAATTTAATGTGAGATATGATTAGAAACAAGTACATAACGCTCCGTACTGTTATGTCAATTATGTCAATTAAAAAAAAAAGAGCTGTGGTAAAGGTCTAGATGATGGCCCCCACCCCCTCCGGGGGTAGGGATCGAAAGAAGATGCCTCCCCCACCACAGTACCATAAAAAGTTGTGGGGGTTCAAAGTTAATAAATATGCCAATTTTATACATTTCTAGGCATGTAAATATTTATATAGTCATTCTTAAACAATATTCAAAGGTAAAACTAATGGAAAAATACATAAAAATATTGAGAAAGTTATATAAAACATTATTTAAATATCTTTATCAATAGGGTAGGTTAGGTTAGGTTATCGGGTTTTGTTCAAGTGACCACCCTCTTTCGATC